AATTTTACAGATAAAAGTGTGGAGATTGTGTATGCTGATGTCACGGCACAAAGGTGAAGCTTTAATTAGCCTAAGATGTCATGATATTGCCCAAACAACGACAGCGTATGAAGTAAAACTTCATAATTTACATGAAGAACTCGCATGGCTTCTCGGTCAATCTTAACATTGAATGCAATAGATGGTCACCTTGGCCATAGCCCAGCTCGAAATCCTCACAGAAAACACTCCAGTGACCAGACGGCGAGCTAAGTTTATCGATCTTTCTCACGAAAATAATTACTTGAAAATTAAACAAATAAATAAAAACTATCATAACCTTATTTTCGTCTGAACTGATGACAATCCAAAAGGGCTTTCATGGCCGATTTATGCAAATAGACGATAAAACTCTCTTCGGAAATTTGAATTAGCTTAAGGTACGCTTAGTACAAAGGGAAGTGAAGGTAATGAAGCCGGAAAAACCGAGAAAAAATCCTAGGCATAAATTCTGTTGGCAAAAGGCTTGAAAATAGGACAAGTGCATTACTTCTCCAACCATCAAGCTTCACCTTCTCGTCGTATCCGAACATTTACAAAATATGAGTATGACTGAGCATCTATTCAGAAAAATCATATGGCAGGATTGGTACGACCTCCTTTCTACCTTGGAGGCAATAACTTCCTGTGTTTCCTAGACGGCACTGTAAACCTCCGTTCCACCGATACAGAAATCCTCAGTCTTTTATGTGTCTAATCTTCGTGTGGTTTTTCAATAGTTGCATGTTCACGGAGTTCTATCTTGACAGTTGCAATAATTTTGCGCTTTGGGAACTTTGAGCCCAATGCAAGTGATTTGGCTCCTCTGACACACTTCACTTGACAAATGACGCTATGAATCATTACCTTGTCCGCGTCCCACACAACTGACACGTTCATGAAAGTTGCAAGAAAACTGTGAAAAATGAGATGCTGGGGTAAAGCATCATTTTATTAAGAAACTGTATTGCTGCCATGAAATAACATTGCCATCGATGCGAGTAGAAATTAATACATAAAAATATGGTGACAAGTACGGGGCTGCTGTCAGAGCAGATTGTCTGTGTCAGCGTCCAAATGAAGAGCTTTTAAGCTGTGAGTAAAACAAAATAAAGCAATTAACAAAGGTTTTTTAAGTTTCTCCAAACTCCATGGCGACCGAAATTATGTTTATTAGCGCGGGAAGATAATCCTTTTGACAAGGAAGCATGGATGAACCACAGTCTTTCTGCCATAAAATTATTCATGTCTTCTCTGCAAAACTGGCCCATGCAGGATGTCTCACTTGATCATCTTCGATTTATAGCAGCGGTTTTAAGCACCGTTCAAAATGTACCTTTTCATTACTACTAACGCTATCTTCAACCAACAGATAAGGGGATGAACAGACTTTCTCATTAGATGGCTTTAGCTGTGGCCTTTGTCATGTTATAGCATTATAATTTGCTTTTCCAATTCGGGTAAATGAGTTACCTGATCTTAGTGGTCGAAACAGTTTTTAACTGAGTAACGAAAATCTAAAACCGAATTAATTGCAACAGCCACTCAGAGCTAAGTTTGGCATAGCCATTAACTTATGAGAACTAAAAATAAAACAAGCAAACTGCTTCAAACGCAGGAAGATACGAGCAAGTAGGTCGGGATTGGTTTTTCAGTTTTAAATCTGATCAACAGGTAAGCGTACAAGTTTTCAGGAGTAATCAACCAGCGAAGTTTCATGTAAGCAAAAACCCGAGCAATCCCTAATTCCGTACGTCACTCAATTGAAAATTACTGTATACAATGTACAAGTGATAAAAAGATTACTAGAGTTACAAGGTTTAACTTGAAGTACCTTCACAACCGTAGAGCTCCATTCTCACTGATATATGATTGAACCAAGCAGTAGGGCGAAGCCTAATGTAGAGTACTTGGATGTGAGGAAGCAATTCATGGGTCACAATAGTGTTACTATCCGTGTTTCCATGAAATATCTTTGAATAAAGAAAAAATCCAGCGAGTTAATCCATTAACACCTAAAACACAAATATCAACTCTCTGCACTCTTTGCAAAATGTTATTACCAAGATTATCTCCAATCACATTTTCTTTTGTTCTCCTCTCTTTGAGTTTAGTCCTCACCAGGGGTTGTTGGATGGGATTTGTGAAAGATCACCCTCTTAATTAAGAAAGCGGTCGCGTGCTCACATGCCCTTGCAAGAATGTAACTACTAGGAATGGAAACGAATCGGAAATAAGCTCTAACACAGTTAAGATAATTATCATAAAAGAAATATTCTCAGTAAATAATCTGCAAATGTCAAAATCCCTGCCAACTTTTTTAAGCGGTATATCCGTCTCAAAACGTTACTTTGTAAGTTTGTGTTTTTTGAAAGGACAGAGGGATTCGGTAAAATCTCGCTTTGTTCACATTTAAGTAGACATCACGAGGACTGACGCGTTAGTAAAACGCTTTAAAGAAGCCTCTCGTTGCCTCCGCGTGGCTTCTAGAGCGCATATTATTGATTTAGTAAGTCGCTGCTGTAAAGTTTGTTTGTATTTTTCATAACCTTGTAAAAATGTTATAGTACCTTAGCTACACTCTGGCCTGGTTCATGGTAATAATGAAACGTCACACCGTCCTCGCTGTACTCTAACTTGTACTTCGTTACCCACTGGTTGAATGCATTTCTTCCCTGTGTGGCGAACTGAGTTATCTTTGTGTATCCGGGAAGTTTTACTTGTATCCATTGATTGACGTCATTTGTGCGAGCAGACCAGCTTCCTGCTTTACCTGGGACCGCTAGGAAATTTAACCTGCCTTGCTTAGCAGCATGATTTCCATTAAATTCTGAGGATGCAGTAATCTGTGCATCCAAGATGGCGCCACTCTCCATACCAAGTGGTTTAGCGCATGCTGTAATAATTCAAAATAAAAGGAGACGAAAGCTTTGTAATAAGAACACCCGTTTATGCTGAAAATTAAAGAAAATGTCTCAAGAATTTCACTCTATTTAGTTAAAGCTCCTCCTAAATGGAAAATATATAGAGAGTAGAGCCTCTATGCGCGATCAAAATTTTACCTGGACATCCGTAGATCTCCATCCTCATTGATATATGATTGAACCAAGCAGTAGGACGAAGCCTGATGTACAGTGCTTGGATGGGAGGAAGCAATTCATGGGTCACAATAGTGTTACTATCCGTGTTTCCACGAAATATCTTTCAATAAAGAAAAAATCCAGCGAGTTAATCGATTAACACCTTAGACGAAAATATCAACTCTCTTCACTGCTCGCAAAATGTTATTACCAAGATTATCTCCAATAACATTTTCTTTTGTTTTCCTCTCTTAGTAAGTTTGTGTTTTTTGAAAGGACACAGATTCGGTAGAATCTTACTTTGTTCACATTTCAGTAGACATCATGAGGACTGACGCGTTGGTAAAACGCTTTAAAGAAGTCTCTCGTTGCCTCCGCGTGGCTTCTAGAGTGCATATTATTGATTTAAGTGAGTCGATCTAAAGGTTGTTTGTATTTTTATGACGTTGTAAGCATGTCATAGTACCTTAGCTGCGCTCTGGCCTGCTTCATGGTAATAATGAAACGTCACACCGTCCTCGCTGTACTCTATCTTGTACTTCTTTACCCACTGGTTGAATGCATTTCTTCCCTGTGTGGCGAACTGAGTTATCTTTGTGTATCCGGGAAGTTTTACTTGTATCCATTGACTGGCGTCATTTGTGCGAGCTGACCAGCTTCCTGCTTTACCTGGGACGGCTAGGAAGTTCAACCTGCCTTGCGTAGCAGCATGATTTCCATCAAATTCTGAGGATGCAGTAATCTGTGCATCCAAGATGGCGCCACTCTCCATACCAAGTGATTTAGCGCATGCTGTAATAATTCAAAATAAAAGGAGACGAAAGCTTTGTAATAAGAACACTGATTTACGCTGAAAGTTAAAGAAAATAACTTAAGAATTTCAATCTGTTTAGTTAAATCTCCTTCTAAATGGAAAATTTATAGAGAGTAGAGCCTCTATGCGTGATCAAAATATTACCTGGACATCCGTAGATCTCCATCCTCATTGATATATGATTGAACCAAGCAGTAGGACGAAGCCTGATGTACAGTGCTTGGATGGGAGGAAGCAATTCATGGGTCACGATAGTGTTACTATCCGTGTTTCCATGAAATAACTTTGAATAAAGAAAAAATCCAGCGAGTTAATCCATTAACACCTTAGACGCAAATTGCAACTCTCTTCACTGGTCGCAAAATGTTTTTACCAAGACTATCTCTAATCACATTTTCTTTTGTTCTCCTCTCTTTGAGTTTAGTCCCTACCAGATGTTGTTGCATGGGATTAATAAAAAATAACCCTGTTAATTAAGAAAGCGGTCGCGTGCCTACATGCCTTTCCAAGAATATGATTACTGGAGTTGAAAACGAATCAGATAAGTTCCAACACAGTTAAGACTATTATATTACAAGTTATATCCTCAGTAAACAATCTCCAATTGTCAAAATCCCTGCCAACTTTTAAGGGGTATATCCGTTTCTAAACGTTAGTTAGTAAGTTTGTTTTGTGAAAGGACAGAGGATTCGGTAAAATTTTGCTTTGTTTAAATTTAAGTAGACATCACGAAGACTGACGCGTCGGGAAAACGTTTTACAGAAGCCCCTCGCTGCCTCCACATGGCTTCTAGAGCGTATATTATCAATTTTAGGGCACCGCAGTAAAGGTTGTTTATATTTTTTTAACGTTGTAACCATGTCAAAGTACCTTAGCTGCACTCTGGCCTGGTTCATGGTAATAATGAAACGTCACACCGTCCTCGCTGTACTCTATCTTGTACTTCGTTACCCACTGGTTGAATGCATTTCTTCCCTGTGTGGCGAACTGAGTTATCTTTGTGTATCCGGGAAGCTTTACTTGTATCCATTGACTGGCGTCATTTGTGCGAGCTGACCAGCTTCCTGCTTTACCTGGGACCGCTAGGAAGTTCAACCTGCCTTGCTTAGCAGCATGATTTCCATTAAATTCTGAGGATGCAGTAATCTGTGCATCCAAGATGGCGCCACTCTCCATACCAAGTGGTTTAGCGCATGCTGTAATAATTCAAAATAAAAGGAGACGAGAGCTTTGTAATAAGAACAATGATTTACGCTGAAAGTTAAAGAAAATAACTTAAGAATTTCAATCTGTTTAGTTAAATCTCCTTCTTAATGGAAAATTTATAGAGAGTAGAGCCTCTATGCGTGATCAAAATATTACCTGGACATCCGTAGATCTCCATCCTCATCGATATATGACTGAACCAAGCAGTAGGACGAAGCCTGATGTACAGTGCTTGGATGGGAGGAAGCAATTCATGGGTCACAATAGTGTTACTATCCGTATTTCCATGAAATATCTATAAATAGAGAAAAAATTGAGGAAGTAAATCGATAAACACCTAAGACATAAATATCAACTCTTTGCACTGGCTACAAAATGTTATTACCAGGACAATCTCCAATTACATTTTCTTTTGTTTACCTCTCTTTGAGTTTAGCCCTCACCAGAGGTTGTTGCATGGGATTTATGAAAGATCACCCTCTTAATTAAGGATGAGGTCGCGTGCTTACATGCCCTTGCAAGAATATGATTACTGAAGATGGAAACGAATCAGAGATAAGTTCCAACACAGTTAAGATTATTATTATTATTATTATTATTATTATTATTATTATTATTATTATTATTATTATTATTATACAAGTTATGTACTCAGGAAATAATCTCCAAGTGTCAAAATTACTGCTTACTTTTAAGCGGTACATCCGTTTCAAAACGTTACTTTGTAAGTTTGTGTTTTGTTAAAGGACAGAGGGATTCAGTAAAATCTGCCATTGTTCACATTTAAGTAGACATCACGAGGACTGACGCGTTTGGTAAACACTTTAAAGATGCCCCTCGCTGCCTCCGCGTGGCTTGTAGAGCGTGTATTATGAATTTTGGTGCGTCGCTTGAAAGGTTGTTTATATTTTTATAACCTTGTAAACATGTAATAGTACCTTAGCTACACTCTGGCCTGGTTCATGGTAATAATGAAACGTCACACCGTCCTCGCTGTACTCTAACTTGTACTGCGTTACCCACTGGTTGAATGCATTTCTTCCTTGCGTCGCAAACCGGGTTATCTTTGTGTATCTTAGAAGTTTTACTTGTATCCATTGGTTGACGTCGTTTGTGCGAGATGACCAGCTTCCTGCTTTACCTGGGACGGCTAGGAAGTTCAACCTGCCTTGCGTAGCAGCATGATTTCCATCAAATTCTGAGGATGCAGTGATTTGTGCATCCAAGATGGCGCCGTTCTCCATACCAAGTGATTTAGCGCATGCTGTAATAATTCAAAATGAAAAGAGACGAGACTTTTCTAAAAAGAACACTGATTAATGCTTAAAATTAAAGAACACATCTTTAGAATTTCACTCTGTTTAGTTCACGCTCATCATAAATGGAAAATATATAGAGAGTAGAGCCTCTATGCGTGATCAAAATATTACTTGGACATCCGTAGATCTCCATCCTCATTGATATATGATTGAACCAAAAAGTAGGACGAAGCCTGATGTACAGTGCTTGGATGGGAGGAAGCAATTCATGGGTCACAATAGTGTTACTATCCGTGTTTCCATGAAAGATCTATAAGTAGAGAAAAAAGTCGAGCAAGTAAATCGATCAACACCTCGAACGTAACAGTTAAGATAACTATTATTGCACATGTTATATACTCAGGAAATAATCTCCAAATGTCAAAATCACTGCTTACTTTTAAGTGGTATATCCGTTACATAAAGGTTAGTTTGTAGCTTTGTGTTTTTTGAAAGGACAGAGGGATTCGGTAAAATCCCGCTTTGTTCACATTTAAGTAGACATCACGAGGACTGACGCGTTGGGAAAATGCTTTAAGGAAGCTCCTAGTTGCCTCCGCATGGCTTCTGGAGCCTATATTATCAATTTTGGTGCGTCGCTGTAAAGTTTGTTTGTATTTTTATAACCTTGTAAATATGTCCTAGTACCTTAGCTGCACTCTGGCCTGGTTCATGGTAATAATGAAAAGTCACACCGTCCTCGCTGTACTCTAACTTGTACTGAGTTACCCACTGGTTGAATGCATTTCTTCCTTGTGTCGCAAACCTGGTTATCCTTGTGTATCCGGGAAGTTTTACTTGTATCCATTGATTGACGTCATTTGTGCGAGCTGACCAGCTTCCTGCTTTACCTGGGACCGCTAGAAAGTTCAACCTGCCTTGCGTAGCAGCATGATTTCCATCAAATTCTGAAGATGCAGTAATCTGTGCATCCAAGATGGCGCCGCTCTCCATACCAAGTGGTTTAGTGCATGCTATAATAATTCAAAATGAAAGGAGACGAGAGCTTTGTAATAAGAACACTGATTAATGCTTTAGATTAAGGAAAATAACTTTGGAATTTCACTCTGTTTAAGTTAAAGTTCCTCATGAATGGAAAATATATAGAGAGAGTAGAGCACCTATGCGTGATCAAAATATTACCTGGACATCCGTAGATCTCCATCCTCATTGATACATGATTGAACCAAGCAGTAGGACGAACCCTGATGTAAAGTGATTGAATGGGAGGAAGTAATTCATGGGTCACAATAGTGTTACTATCCGTGTTTCCATGAAATATCTAGGAATGAAGAAAAAATGGAGCAAGTAAATCGATTAACACATAAGACACAAACATCAACTCTCTGCACTGGTCGCAAAAGTTATTGCCAAGACTATTTCCAGTCACACTTTCTTTTGTTCTCCTCGCTTTCAGTTTAGTCCCCACTAGTGGTTGTTGCATGGGATTTATGAAAGTCGATTCTCTTAATCGAGAAAGAAGTCGCGTGCTTAAATACCCTTGCAAGAATATGATTACTGGAGATGGAAACGAATTAGATAAGTTCCAACACAGTTAAGATTATTATTATACAAGTTACATGCACAGTTAATATTCTCCAAATGTCAAAATCACTGCCCACTTTTAAGGGGTATATCCGTTTCAATACGTTAGTTCGTAAGATTTATTTTTTTGAAAGGACAAATAAATTCAGTAAAATCTCGCTTTGTTCACATTTAAGTAGACATCACGATGACTTACGTGTTGGGAAAACAATTAAAGAAGACCCTCTTTGCCTCCACGTGGCTTCTAGAAGCGTATATTATCAATTTTAGTGCGTCGCTGTAAAGGTTGTTTGTATTTTTATAACGTTGTAAGCATATCATAGTACCTTAGCTACACTCTGGCCTGGTTCATGGTAATAATGAAACGTCACACCGTCCTCGCTGTACTCCAACTTGTACTGCGTTACCCACTGGTTAAATGCATTTCTTCCTTGTGTCGCAAACCTGGTTATCCTTGTGTATCCGGGAAGTTTTACTTGTATCCATTGATTGACGTCATTTGTGCGAGCTGACCAGCTTCCTGCTTTACCTGGGACCGCTAGGAAGTTCAACCTGCCTTGCGTAGCAGCATGATTTCCATTAAATTCTGAAGATGCAGTAATCTGTGCATCCAAGATGGCACCGCTCTCCATACCAAGTGGTTTTGTGCATGCTGTAATATTGAAAATAAAAAGAGACGAGAGCTTTGTTATAAGAACATGGATTAATGCTTAAAATTAAAAAAAATAACTTTAGAATTTCACTCTGTTTAGTTAAAGCTCCTTGTAGATGGAAAATATATAGAGAGTAGAGCCTCTATGCGTGATCAAAATATTACCTGGACATCCGTAGATCTCCATCCTCATTGATATATGATTGAACCAAGCAGTAGGACGAAGCCGGATGTAAAGTGCTTGGATGGGAGGAAGCAATTCATGGGTCACAATAGTGTTACTATCCGTATTTCCATGAAATATCTATGAATAAAGAAAAAATCGAGCAAGTAAATCGATTTACACGTAAGACGCAAACATCAACTCTCTGCACTGGTCGCAAAATGTTATTACCAAGACTACCTCCAATCACGTTTTCTTTTGTTCTTTTCTCCTTTAGTTTAGTTCCCCACCTGGGTTTGTTGCATGGGATTTATGAAAAATAACCTTTTCATTAAGAAAGTGGTCGCGTGCTTACATGCCCTTGAAAGAATATGATTACTCGAGATGAAAACATATCTAAGATAAGTTCCAACACGGTTAAGAGTATTATAATACAAGTTATATGCCCAGTAAATAATCTTAAAATGTTAAAATCACTGCTTACTTCTAAGGGGTATATCCGTTTCAAAACTTTAGTTTGTAAGGTTGTGTTTTGTTAAAGGACAAGAGATTCGGTACAAAAATCTGCCCTTGTTCGCATTTAAGTAGTTATCACGATGACTGACGCGTTGAGAAAACGCTTCAGGAAAGCCCCTTGTTGCCTCCATATGGCTTCTAAAGCCTATATTATCAATTTTTGCGCGTCGCTGTAAAGGTTGTTTGTATTTTTATAACCTTGTAAACATGTAATAGTACCTTAGCTGCACTCTGGCCTGGTTCATGGTAATAATGAAACGTCACACCGTCCTCGCTGTACTCCAACTTGTACTGCGTTACCCACTGGTTAAATGCATTTCTTCCTTGTGTCGCAAACCTGGTTATCCTTGTGTATCCGGGAAGTTTTACTTGTATCCATTGATTGACGTCATTTGTGCGAGCTGACCAGCTTCCTGCTTTACCTGGGACCGCTAGGAAGTTCAACCTGCCTTGCGTAGCAGCATGATTTCCATTAAATTCTGAAGATGCAGTAATCTGTGCATCTGAGATTGCGCCGCTCTCCATACCAAGTGGTTCAGCGCATGCTGTAATAATTCAAAATAACAAGAGACTAGAGCTTTGTAATAAGAACACCCATTTATGCTGAAAATCAAAGAAAATATCTTAAGACTTTCACTCTATTTAGTTAAAGCTCCTCCTAAATGGAAAATATATTGAGAGTAGAGCCTCTATGCGTGATCAAAACATTACCTGGACATCCGTAGATCTC